ACATTATTGTTTTATATTTTTATATTCCTGTGCAATGCCTGAAGCACTTAGAACACTGCACCCTGTTCAGTAATTCTATGCCAACAAGTACTCCCAACAGTTAGCTGTTCCTCATCTATTTTATAAATCCTCTATTGATATCATATAGTGTTATTTTAAATGAAAATATGCAGCACTAAATCAAATACATAAATCTCTACAATCACCCTCAACAGGCTTGTAATGGCCATGAATTATTACATCAGGCTTGTCTGAAAAAACTTGTTTTCCATAAAATCATTTGCACTCGATAAATTATACTCACTGTTAGCTCGTCAACAACAGAACAATATTTATGCTTCCTGCTGTTTCACTGAAGTTGGATTTCAAGCTATGTGACCAATAGCCACCTATTTGGTTTTTAAGATTAGAACTCATTAGCAGTGTTTCAGCACAATGACATATGCCCAGTTATCCCAAAATTCACAGAACTGGCGAAAACTTCCTCACCAGTAATTCTTGTTTGTTTGTAGGGTACAAGTTATCCAACTCTACTCATGCCACAATGATTATTCTTAGTAGGTATTGCTTAATATGCTCCTCACTTAATAGACTGGAAAGTACCCCACAGTTCTCACATGACATGATTACATCACTTGCTTCTTTGTAAATGCAGAAGAGGAATTGAATTTAAAACTGTCTTGGTTATCATTTGCCATATTAGCATTTCCATCCACGGAAGGGTCTGTAACACAAGTGGTATTTATTCGTTCTTAACACATTAAGTTATACATATTATTTGCTATAATGCTTTCATCCATTTTTCTTTGCCTTGACAGTCTTAGCCTTTTTTATAATTTTTAACACTTTACAATTTCTCATTTTGTAACGATTTCCTACTTCTGACCACACACTTCTGTTTTGTTTATTTTTAAATGCTGTTTTTACTGGTGAGCAGATTGGTTCCTAGAATTTTTCACAAACATCAAGTTATGAAATTGTGGGATTTTGGCTAATTGAATCTCAAAGACATACAACTTTTCATTCACCTTTTTTTTTCCCCAATAATTTTACTCCTTGGTTCTCTTAACACTGAGATTTTTAACCTTTTCAATTCATCAGTAGTATAAAGCAAGGAAGTATTGGTCGAGTCCATTCTCTGTTAATCAATACTGAACAAAATTAGGTCACGATTCTTGGTTTCTAGGCAACCACTTCCAATTCATTTACTTAATTTGTCTGTATCTATTCTAATGAGGTCTAAAATAGATTGACTGCTGTTTGGGACTGCATCTTTAGTATAATCTACACTTTTTACACAGGCCAGTGACGATTAGCTACACATGCCCCACAAACTGAACTTCGCCAAAAACTTCTTCTCTTCAACCATGAGAATCTATTATTTAAATATATATTAATGAATAAAATAGTGGTGAAAAAAAAAATTAATCTCCAGATGTCAGGAAGAAGTCAAGTTCTCAAATAACAAGCCAGTGCATAGTCTCATGTTCTTTGGCTTGCAAGTAAGAACAGAAATTTATTCCTAGAAAAGCATGTCTTGTTTCTAATTCATAAAACAATGAAAAACATTTAAACAGCCTTTCACAAATCACTATACATCAAGTTAGTCTTCTTCCTGTTGTCTGCCTCTGACATCCACTTCAACCCTTCTACAACTATTGCCAAAACACCATTCACCAACCTCATCCTTCCACCTAACTGCTTTCCTTCCTTTTTCTCTGACTTGGGTACCACATAACCAGCTGATGTTTAGCCTCTCTAATCCCTATCAGTAAATCACTTATCATGCAAACAGCTCTTATGCTTCCGGAAAACCCTTCCAGGAATCTCCATTTAACTCAACTACCTTGCACTACTTCCAAAGGTATTTGGATATTGTTTCATTTTTTCAGAGAGAAGCGTAATAACTAATAGCCACCACATCTCACAGAGCAAAGTCTAAACCTCTTACTCAGACTGTTTTTACCATTTATGTAAAAATTACCACGTGACTTGCAGGCAATCCAGGAAAACCCTACATGCGGACCTTTGTCAGACAAGTAGGCAGAAGCAGCTGCTGAGGCCATTACCTAGCCATCTTGCAACCCAGCCAGGTGCTCAAACCATTATTTAACAATGAAGCAACAGAAAGAGAAAGCCGTTGCCTGTTATCCATTTGCTCAGTGGATAACAGGAACTCTCTCCTGAGTCTCTGATATTACCCTTTCCTGTGAAACCTTTGTTGTGAAGCCAAAGTCCAATCTGAATTTCTAATACAAGAAAATAATAATCCTAAACACAGTGAAATTTTAAGAACATACGATACTAACTTTAAAAGCCATCTGTTTGTTACAGACAAAAACTACAAATTACTTCCTAATTTATTACAGTGAATACTTAAAGTTGGGTTGGAATAAGCTCAGGCTTTCATAAGCCTGAGTTTTGAAATTTAATTAAGCCTAGGTCTAGCAGCTCTAGAATAGACTAGGCTTTGTCAGATACCTATGTTTTGGCATGATTTCATATATGTGATTGTTTCTGGCAGTGTCAAGGTCACCAACTCATGTTTGCAAAGCAGAAGAAGTGTTCCCTGTTTTATTGGGGGACTCCATGTCACAGCCTTAGAATAGTGTCAGAGATAGTTTTTCCTATACAAAGTTTTCCACCTGTTATAGACAGGTGCAGAAACAGAAACCAAGTTACTTTTCCATTCCAAGATCAGTTATTTAGAATAAAAACATGAACATCAATTTGTTAGAATCATAGAGTTAGTTTTAGTTGGAAGAAAAAAAGGCATTTAATCCAACCCCAATTTAATTCAGAAGGCTCCAGGAAGCCAATATAAAACTTAGCAGACAAGTTTGATATGTTACCACATTAAAATTTTCATAAGCACTTCAGAACATAGCCATTAATCTTCTGTGTTGAGTGTAGTGTTAGCCATAGGCTGATCTGACTTAATTACTGCCTGATGAAGGAACTGGCTTCTACAAAAACAAATTACAGTAAATCCTATACGCTGGAAACAGATATAGAACATAACACTTTCATTTGTCGTTACAATACGGTTTAGTTTTTTCCTCCCTACACACACGGATATCCATTTGCTGCTAACATAACTGTACAATCATGCAGGCATTTCCACACGAGTAATAGCAGACATTCTCACGCACTTCAGTATCTTGGCTGTTCAACATTGTACAACATGCAAGCACACACACTAAAGAGTAAGAAAATTAAAAAGTCAATTAAATTGTTATAATTACCATCAGTACTATTCTAAAACTAACTTTTAAATCACATGACTTTTTATCATCACATATTTTTGCCTACAATTACTGTACTTACAATTATCTACCTTGATCCAAGACTGCTGATTTATGCAGAGAAAGGTCTCCCTCATGTGGAAATCTGCCTACCAACTGTAAAATAAAAACAGTGTCTTTTTCTTAATAAAGGTTCTATTGCTTAGAGTTGCAGATTCATTTGGGGAAAGTATCACTTAGTATATTTTTTTACAATGTTTTCATTCTTTGGAGCTATCATTACAGTGTGAAAGAAAAAAACACATTAATAAGACAGAATCACAAGAATTTCCAACATGTATAAAAAGATGGCAAAATATTGTAAGCAAAAGAATGTAAGGGAAATCAATCTAGGCAAAATTCATAGGTTTTGGGATAATCTTGTATCTATCAGTTTTCTCAGCTTTCCATTCTGGCCATACTGAATACAGTTCAAGATGTTCCCATACACGTGACATCCATGTACTCTGCCTTTTCATGGCCCAGCAGAACTGTGGCCTAAAGTTGTAACTGAATAGAAGATTTAGATTTAACTTAACTGTGTGGTCTGGTCAGACTATACAGTTAATCTGTTTTCCCTACAAATAGTTATGATTCTTCATATCTAGCTGGTGCAGTTCAAAGGTAAGTCCATTCAGATTTTCAATTTCAGAAACTAATAAAGTTCATTTTTAACTCCCCAGTTTCAATGCTTTAAAAGAAAAAAAAAAGGCAAAAAACAAAGTTTCTCACTTTGAAAAACACCCACAAATTGTGAGAACAATCCCAATTTTAGTTTTTTTCCCCTAAAATAAATGGACAGCTTTGACTCAGAGTGAATGATACCAGTTTTCTTTTGCTGAAAAAAATCTTTTGAGTTGACCAGGCACATTTTCTTGTCTCATTGTTGAACAATAAGCTGTAAACCCCTACCATATTTACAATAGCAGTTTAAATGTCTAAAATGTATTGGCTAGTAAATAAAATTTATAAGCTGTTTATACCACGCCGTAATAATAAAACCACAGTAAGATATGATACCTAAGAAAAGTGCACTTTTAGCAGCGCACTTTTAACAGATTAACAGCTTTATTTGGATGGTGCAGAGTTGGCTTGTAAGACTACTTTTTCCTGCTTTTGCAGAAAACCTGCAGAATAACTCCTTGATTACTTTCACAGTCTCACAGCTGAAATCATTAAATCCATTGCACTTTTCTGTAGCATCTCTTGCCTGCCACACCGGAAAGGAACAGGAAAAATTTGAATTGGCTTTTGGCATTCCTGTCAGGGATATCTTATTTCCTTCCTTCCTTATTTGTATCTCAAAATACTTAAGAAACCAACTGAAGACATTATAATTGCTCAAGTACATATTTCAATGCCTGTGTTGATATAATTTGGGATACAAAGACCTGATTTGTGGTCATCAACAGAAAGAGTGGTGGAATAAGTGAAAAAGTCACTGATTTTGGCTGATTTTTTCTTTTTTAGTCATACTTTGTAAGTATATAAATGGTACAAAAATTTAACATGCATCAGAATTAGGTATAAAAGTACCACACAAACATCTCTGCTGTAAAGGTATCTGGGGCATTTCAAGAGAACCTATAAAGGTTCTCAGTCTTGAAATTTGTCAGGTAGCTGGACTGAATTCAACCAATGACAAAACCAAACACACTTTGTATCCATCAGAGACACTGGTGAACCATCAAGACAACAGAGAATAGAGAATAAGAATGAATCTGTTTCCTTTATTGCTGGTTGTATTCTTTCTATCCCCTTCAGTTTTAAAATTAATTCACAACATACAATTTAAGTGCATCTCTTAAAAGAAAAACATGGCATTAACTCCTCATGTTGATTAGTATTAATTAGTTTTATTTCATAAAAAATTTTAAAAATTACCATCCAATTTCCTCAGCTTCTGCACATCTCAGATTTTTTTTCCCTGATGTTGAATTTTGTAATCCTATGAACTTTTGTTTTAAAAGTCACATTTTTATTTATACAATTTTAAAAATCATCAAAAAAATGACCTAGTTTTCCTAGAGTGATACATAGTTAAAATGTGAAACACACTGACATTTCCAGCTGATTCCATACTTATGTGCCATTACAAAAGAATCATAACTTCACTGAACACACAATCCCTTACTCAATAGGAAAGCTCTCTGGCTTGGTTTACGCTCCAAGAAATTTTGTAGCATATCCATTCCATCCAAAGATCCTCCAGGTTTCAAAATGAGGTTTCTGTATTTCATCCCAGCCTAACAGAAGGTAAAGCAGAATGTTAGTGCTTCTTATTTTGCCCACGGCCTCTTTTTCTGTATTTGTTGTAAATTTAAAAATCTATTCATGATAAAACAACTTTACTTGTTCCAGATTTTCCTGTTACCAAATTAGGATATACCAGGATAGGTCAGAAGTATAATTTATATCTGCTGGAAGAACTCAAGAGAGCAGAAATTTGATGAGTTCTGAAGAAATTATTTTTCTTGTGGTTTTACCCTGGTTTTGAAGCTATAATCACAACTTGACTAAGGACATTCTATAAAGTGTAACAAACACACAACCTCCTCAAAATCTTCAGTGAAGGATTACCCCTGTGATTCATAGGCAGGAAAAGGGAGCTCAACATCCTTTCTCTAACTGATGATTTCTCTTCCTTTAATCTTTATTTAGATAACACAGATGATACTTCAGAGATAAAATAGGCAATAACACTGTGGAATGGCATGGCACTCACACCCATACCCATATAATATATACAGTTGTACATATCATACATACAAACACATCTAATACACCTACTATAGTATCTTAAAGAAAATGAGGTTTAACTCAGATTTTAATTTAAGGAAGAAACATTATTGCTTCAGAAAGAGTAGATTCCTTTAAAAAAATTAATGAAGTTTCTGAGAAAACAAGTAATGAGGAGTTTCTTAACAAGAAGTTGCATTTTAAGGAACGTATAGATCTGGAGAATTCTGGGCTTCTGAGACATGACTACAAACGAGAAAATGTAATTTTGCACGTGCATTTCCCAAATGCTTCTGATACGGAAGAAGACAATGTTCTTCCTTTTAAGCAGTGTATATATACATATACAATTCTCCCACAACTCAATAAAAATACATTGCTTCATCATGACTTGTTGGGGGCTAGGAATTTTCCTTTTGTTTCTTCCTCTCATGGAATTTTGTCCCATATGTTGCTAGGAAACATAACTACCAATACTTAAGAAAACAAAAGAGGTAGCTGTACATCACAACAATCCATTGAAATGGCCCTGTCTGGGGGCGGGTTACATCTGTCAACACAGAGAAAAGGTGAGGGGACCCCGGAGGCTTGGGGCTGGGCTTTTGGTCAGTCTGGTCTCAGGATTCGTGGGAGAAGGGAGTTGTTTGCTGTTTTCCCTGCTGCCTAACTACTTCGACCTGAAGCATGAGGACTGGCTCCCGCTGGACCCTCTGCCACCTCGCGCTGCCACGGCCACTCCTGCGTGGGGGACTCTGAGATCCCCGACTACTGTAGTCTTCCTGCACTGCAAGTCTGTTTAATTTTTTGTTTGTTTGTTCCTCGGCCATTTGGTGGGGGGTCTGGAGCCAACGTGTGGAGTGCCTCAGTACGGGCCACCTCTGCATGGGAGCCTGGCAATTGTGACCAGCTGCCAGTCATGACTCCACAGGCCAAGCCGCCATGACTGTGTGGTCCCAGAGCCCCGCCACAGCGCCCCCTGCAGCTGCGGGGGAATCACCGCAGCCCCTGCCCGCCGGGAGCCAGCAGCGCCCCTGCTGGCTGTGACCAGAACTGCACCCAAGGGGAAATTGAAGCTTCAGGGAGGAGACTTTATTGGGTTTTCTGGTTTGTTTGTTGTTACTGTTTGTCTGCCTTGCTATGCACAGACATACCAGTAAAGAACTGTTATTCCTTTCTCATATCTTTGCCTGAAAGCCCCTTAATTTCAAATTTCCAATAATTTGGAGGGAAGGGGGTCATGTTCTCCATTCCAAGGGAGGTTCCTGCCTTCCTTGGTGGACAACAGTCTTTCAAACCAAGACATGACTGTACTGTAAAAACAAGCAAAGTTTTTAAGTGATGGGCTTCTATGACTTAATTAAACTACAATTTGCATTGTCTGAATTACAGCTGGAAAAATCTAGAATAAAGTAAAAATAAATTTTAAAAAATCATTGAAGTATTGTTAACACTTCACTATTTTTGTTAGTTTGCTGAACATCAGCAGCAAATGAATATATTGTTCCTTATAGTTTACAACTATTTTTGAGTAGACTTGAGTCTTTGCTGTTGTCCCTTCAGAGCCAGAATACTGCCCAGTTCTAGGGAGACCAGATGTTAGTTCAGATAATGTGCAAGAATTGAGGAGCTACCAATTAAGTTAGAGTTAATTGTTTGTGTAAGAATTTTAATACATTAAATTTCTGAAATCAGATTGTATAACTGTGGCTCAAAACAGGAGGAGAGGTTTAATTCAAAGAGGAAGAAGTAAGCCAAATTTCTATAAGGCCTAGTCATAATACTGTAACCATTTTCCTTTTCTGCTGTTCAGAAGACTAGTCTAAATCTAGATATAATGAAGTATGAGTAACTACAAGAGACATACTGGTATCTAGCATTTGTTTATTAAAAAATGTTTGTCCCGTCCTGTGGGATTCTATCACACTTATTTGGGTTTAAAGATAACTAATTTGCAAAGATACCATTGAAGAGGGATAGAAAAATTATCTCCACAGCTATCCCTCATGTTACATCAGCAATCATACAAAGTGTTCGTCTGCACATATGCCAGAGGGCAAGTGACACACATAAATAATCATCTTTCTGCCTCACTTCTTAACCTAGATAGCAGGCTTCACAATAAAAGAGGCACTAGCTGTCTTTCAGCTGTTCCACAAAAATATTCACTTTTAGCATAATCAATTTATTCTCAAAGCCTCCCATACATAGGCAAGGAAAACAAAAATTCACATTAAAAAATCAGACTAAAAGATATCCCTTAGGAGAAGTAAATGTAACAGAGCCATTTTGCCAAAATATAGCTTAGGATTTTGACTATACAGACTTCAATCAGACTTTTGAGACTAGAGAGTAAAATTGATGGAACAGAAGTGTGATGGCACTGGAGGGATATGGACATGCCAGAACAAAAAACTGACACAAGGTTCCACAAGTTTGGCAACAGCACCCTTAACCATCGTTCCCAAATGCTAGCAGTTATAAAAGCCAGCAAGTCTGACCCTCCTGAAATACCATTTTTAAGATCCATATGAACAACATTCCATTAAAAGTTATTTTATTTATTCATTTAACTTGATACTTCTTCTCTAGTGCTCTTATTTATGAGTGACAATATTCCCAATGAATAAGCAGGTATGCTTATTCTCATGTGTACCTGTCACGAATCCCTAGCCCTTCAAGGTTAATCTTAACCTCCAAACCCTATGTCACTTCTTCTGTCAAACTGTGAAGTTGGCTGCTTTTCTTCAGAAAACACCTTTTGGGTTTTGTTGGGTTAACCACTGCCTCACTTTCACAGTCCAACGCCATCCCAATTCTCTTTCAACTCCCCTCTTTGTCCAGATCAAAAGATCAAAACCTGATCTTATTTACTCTCTCCATCCTCTAGAGGGATGGACAGTTCTAGAAGTTCTGGTTGCTGTGATAAGTACAGGGAGGAAAGAAGGCAAATTCCAGGAGAGGAAAAGGACTGCCATGTATTTTCTACTCTTTCCTTTATTTCTCTCTTGTGTACTTCTATCAAAAGAAAGAACTAGTGCTGGCAGCTGAATCAAGAACACAGTTAAGAAGATCAAGAAACCCAAATTTTCTCTCATGACAGAACTCATCTATCTCATCCTCAGCACCTCACCTCAAGTCTAATGCTCTCTAATAAACTCTGAAAAACACCACTAGAATTGGCAGGACTACTAATCACATCACTAATTACCTTTTTTCTCTGCTGGAGGCGGAAGAGGATGGAGAATTACTCTAGGGAAAAAAGACCCAGTAAATCTAGAACTTCTTAATGACTTGGACTTCAAAATAGACCAGGGATTTAAACTGAAGATGAAACAACTTTCACATTACTCTCTATTGTGACAGAGAAAGCGCAAAATAAATTCAGTTTTCTAAATAGTAACTACATAAAAGGACCACGTAGTTGAGTTATGCAGAATGTAATGGAAATGTAAAAGAAACAGAGCACCACTATCATACAGGTTTCACAGCAGATGAATATGCAGCTGCTCTTGCAATGGAGGAATGTTTTTTTATTCAGAAGGCATTAGACAAGGCAATACAGAATCTCAAAAGTACTACAGTATTAAATATCTGGTGATTTAAGAATTGCATTAAAATTCAAGTGCTCTTGGAAATTTTAAGATGGTTTTCTTAAAGTTACTTTTACACCTTTTTTGTTGTTGATCTGAACTCAACAGGTACAGAAGTAGTACTTGAGACGTTATACTTCGGGATCATGATGGCAATAAATGTGGTTTCAGAGACAAAGTGCAACAGAAGAGTTTATCAAAAAGTATTCATCACCTACCTTTGGATTCATGATTCCTTCTTGCTTAAAGCAGCTATAGAAGATATCCATGGAAAACACTTCACTCCACAGGTATCCATAGTATTGACCGTCATAACCACCTGCCAAATGTCCAAAAGTAGCTGGCATGTTTGTTCCTTGAAAAGTAGATTAACATCAAGTTACTGAAATCAAATTCAGTTATTTCTTTGATGCATACAGTACTTCAACAATAAATTAATAAGGAATTTATATCACTACTTTGAAACTTTTAGCATAAAGGGTCTGAATATGCCTCAAATTACTGAATATACTTTGTTGAAAACAAAGTAAACTCAATTTCTCATTTTAGGCTACTTGTACATCCAATACAGATGTGACAGAACATCTCAAGTGGAATTCACATCATGTCACTCTGAAATATATCCTGCAAAAGGCTAAGTTTTATATTTACCTTCAGAATTTTCCTTCGGAAGAGATCATTAAGATCATCCTAAATTTAAAAATAATTATTTCAGCTTCATGAAGTAGATTATTCCATAAACAGCCCTGTTTTTTGTATGCCAAGCATTACTGTAAAAGAGAGGCATGTTAAACCAAACACTTGGGCATGCTGTATAAAATCTTCATACTGACATACCTGGAGTGGCAGGAATTCCTAGAATTTCCATACAGTATTTAGCATATTCATCTGCTGGGTCAACAGACAGCTTTGTATGCAGTGCCTGGTCAACTTTGCTCAAAACAATCTGACGGAGGGTTAGAAGGCCTAATTGGGTAAAAACATTTAATTAACCAGCATCAAAATTACTGGAGTTTTATTTGCATCTTTCCTTCAAAGATCTCAACATGCATGCTAAATTATTAGAATTCTGGAGTTACATCATTTCCATCTGAATTACTCTACTTACAAAGAGTTAAGAAGCATAGTTTTAATAAAGGAATTATCATGCTAAGCCCCCTCTTTTCAATATTACTTTCCTCATAGATCAAAACTAAAATAAAGCAGATATTTTAAAAGCAAATTTTAATTTAAGCTGTTTTTAAGAAGCTACAAGATATGAACCCTTACTCAAATAAAATGCTTATGCAGCTAGAGTCTGTGCAAGCCGCAAGGACACAGACTTCTTGTTCGGGATAGGGAAGCAGTATGAAATAAACAGGAGTAGCTTAAGGATGAAATGGTAGCATAAATGGGAAGCTCTGATTACAAGAATAAAGAGATGAGAGTGATAGAATAATAAAGGCATGATAGGTAATGACGTGTGATTACAGTCTTAGTTTGGAGATACGTATAAGGTCTACCGTAATGCTGTCTGGGATATGTTATGTCTGTTCAGTAAATTTGCAAGTAACTTTCATATCTGTTAAGTGTGGCATGCAAATCAAGTGTAGACGACACATGTAGGTACACTGTGTCTTGCACAGTGCCTGTTCTGGAGTACATTTAAGATTAAAAAAACCACAAAAGCCAAACCTGACTACACCAGACTACCCCCTTCCACCTATCACACGCACCACCAATTTTAAATGAAAAAAGCTTACAGATAAAAATTTACATGGATAGGAAAGGTATTTTAGTCCTGGAGGTGGCCTGGAAAATCAGAGCTGCTACTGTTCCTGTAAAGAGTTCTATATGTCATCATAACCTTTTTTTAGTGGGGCTCCCACACAGATAAACTTAGAAAGACAGTGGTAAGTGTACACACGGGAGAAATTTAATAGGCTTCTTATGTATGTGAGCTTTTAAAATTACATACTTTTATACATATACTGTGGGGAGCAAACGCAGAGAGATACCTGTATTAGCAAGCCTAGAGGCAGCAAGTTTCTCCAGGAGAGCGTCTCCAACATGGGTTGCGTCTTTATAGTGTCTTGACATCTGTTGTAGTGGTTCTTTTTCCCACACCCAGTTCTCAAACATTTGTGAAGGTACCTCTACAAAGTCTGTTTCCACATTAGTTCCACTAAACCTTGCAAAATCAGTCTAGGGGGAAAAAAAGCCGTTGAATTAAATTAAAATAGAAGCCAATATTTTTAGCAGAATATAATATTTCAGATATCAAAATTTCAGTTTAAATCACAGGAAAAGGAATCATTTGAACAGACCAATAATAATAATAGCAATAATTTAAAAATGAAATTTAAAGAAAGGAGGAAAAAAATCAGACATAAGACTATTATCAAGGAGTAAAGTAGAGTACTCAGTAGTTATATACTGCATTATCTACTGGTACAGAACAGTACTTCAATTTTTTTTGTATTACCAATTTTTACCTTTAAGGTTATGACAGCAATACAAACATTTTCATGCTATCCTGTGACAATGATATAATTTTGTACATTATTATAGACTTTTGTTGTATTTCTCCAATGTAAAATAATAAACTCCAACTACACACTTTAAAAAGTTTATTTTATTGCAGTCTACCACACTGATTCACAGACTTTACTTAACCAACTTATTCTATTAAGCTTTGCCCTATTTGTCATCATTTGTAATATATGTGGTTAACACACAGCACTTTTTTAGTCATTAACAGACTGACATAAATAAATCCTAGCAACCTTATCCATAAAAAGTTTTCAAATCTGACACTTTGATAAAAGAATCTTTTTCTGAAAGCCAAATACCCTAGAACTTTTTTAAATTTTAGTATCAACAATAACTTCATGTTTAAGAAGGTCCTCCAATACCAATTTTGAGGAAAAATTTGTACAGTTAAGAATCTTCACTAAAATATACTCTAAATCCAAATATTTCTGAGAAGTCACCTCTGAAAGACAGTTGTTCAAATACACAGAAAATATTTCGTTTCATAGAATCATAGCATCATAAAGGTTGGAAAATACTTTTAAGATTATCAGGTACAACCACCAACCCAGCATCACCACCCTGTTCAGCATTAAGCTGTTAACCTATGTCCTCAAGTACCATATCCACACATTTTTTGAATGCTACCAGGGATGTTGACTCCACCACTTCCCTGGGCAAACAATTTCAAAGATTTACAACTCTTTCAGAGGAAAAAAAAAAATTACTAATATCCAATCCAAACCTTTCCAAGTGCAACTTGAGCCATTTCCTCTTGTCCTGTCATTGATCGCCTGGGTGAAGAAGCTGGCCTCTGCTGGCTACAGTCTCTTTTCAAGAAGTTGTAAAGAGCAGTAAGGTCCCCCTGAGCCTCCTTTTCTTCAGGCTAAACACACAGGACTTCAGCCACTCCTCACAGGACTTGTGCTCCAGCCCCTGCCCCAGCCCCACTGCCCTTCTCTGCACTCTCTCCAGCTCCTCAGTGTCTTTCCTGCAGTGAGGGCCCAGCACTGGACACAGCACTGGAGCTGAGGCCTCACCAGTGCACAGTACAGGGGACACTCCCTGCCCTGGCCCTGCTGCCACACCATTGCTGCTCCAGGCCAGGATGCCATTGGCCTTCTTGGCCACCTGGGCACTCCCTGGCTCATGTTCAGCTGCTGTCACCAGCCCCCCCAGGTCCTTTCCAGCCACTCTGTCCCAGCCTGTGGCACTGCCTGGGGTTGTTGTGACCCAAGGGCAGCACCCAGCACTGGGCCTTGTTGGATCTCACACCACTGGCCTCAGCCGTGATCCAGCCTGTCCAGATCCCTCTGCAGAGCCTTCCTACCACCACTTCACCCTTATCTTGTAATAAGTCTATCTCCTCCTGCCAGCCCAATTTTATTTTTTTTTCCTTCTCATCAACATACTAACAAAACATTTTAAGCACTAAAAGAAAAAGAATTCTCTGTTGTCCTCTCTAAGAGCTGTTGATATTCTTACAGTCCATCCTTTGCTGAAGGATGGGAAATAGATCTTTACAGGACTGCAGGCTTTTGAACTTAGTTTCTTGCAGGGTTACCAAAAAAATCATTTATAATACAGGACATAACCTTGAACTGACATCTGTGTCACATGCATGTGTCTTCCTCTCATGTCTTCAGAAGAACAACACAAAAGGAGTAAAACTTTCCTCTACACTTGCAGGCTGCTCAAATCCATAGTTGTAGGCTGGCCCTTTTTTCTGTCCTTGCTGAATAGCAGCTCTGAAGAAAAGCTAGGAAGCACCAGCTTCAGGGAAGAAATAATGATAGAAATGGCTACAGCAAAAAGCAAGTGGCCTTCAGATATCTTCATTTACCCATACCAAGTGCACTACACTAAAAAAAAAAAAAACACCAAGACATTTGGTACAAGTTACTTCAAGAGCACTCCCTGAACAACACCAACAAATTCCCTCCCTGCCCTGATCTCACTCTCCAACAGTATATCTCACTTTTCCAGTATATTACATAATCAGACCTTTACCAGCAGCTCACAAATCCCTCCCAGTCTCATCCTTGCGTAGCATTTAACTGCAAAGTCTTAACATGCTTAAACAAATCATCACATGAAACAAGACAGTGCTTGGTACACACAAATTCCAGAGGACAGGATGTTCTTATGTGGGACTAGCAATTTCGCACACATGCAAATAGCTATTTACATTCAACACCAGAGAAGTGAGCAAGGCAGCTGGGCACAACAGAAAACACCAGAGCAGTGTGAGAGACAGGCCTCTGATCTGTGTGCAATTCCAGAGCAACTAAAGTACACATGCATTGGAATGGTTGGCTTCTGCTGTTCTGAAAGGACTCCAAAACACTGAGGCACATTCTCACTGGCTGTCAAAATATTGCAGTCAGTTTTGTACTGTTCTATACCAATGCCAAATGTGTTACATTTATAAACACCTTCTATACTGCCTAGGTTTTATTCCTCAGTTTTTGATATCACAAACACCTATCACAGGGTTGATAAAATAATAATTGTATTTCTACCTTTAAGATGATTCAAAAATACCTAAGCAATTATTAACTCTGGATTTAATACATGGATTTCTGTGATGTTGTTTCTTTATTCTGTAGTCCCAGTCTCTAGGATCATGGTCAAGAATTAAAATCTAATGTAGGTAATTTTTCCTTGACCTTATTATTTTGTATTTGTTTATACAGAAGACAAAGGAAGTGCTACACAAAATCTGAACTTGCAATTAACTATGTGAATTTTTTTGTGTATGAATACTGACACTCATCTCTTTCTGAAATATAAAATTTTCATTAGGCAAACAATAAATTTATCATCTGGCAGTATCACTTTTACATGTAAGTAATAAATGAAAACAGAAATTTTACAACTTTATTGGTACCTTGATGGAAAATCTGAAACTACCTTCAGTTCTTTCTGGTCACTGCAATAAACCTAACCTGTCAGATAGGAAAAAATAAAATAGCTTAGGCAAGATCTGTTTTATGCCTGTGATGTCAAGAGTGATAGGTCTCAACAGTACTAAATGCCAAAATGCTGGAGGTCAACTAGCTTCAGAAATTATTTTCATTCCTAGGTATCACAGCATTGTTTTGTTTCTAATACCTGGTTTCTAATGCCATACCTCTACAAAACTAAAAGTAATAAAAAGCCATCTGAACAAAGCCATGACTGAGCGTCTTCTTCACTTTACGTGTACCTGTGATGAGTGAATAGACTCCTGCATGATGCAAATGCAAAAGTACATGTTCCTACAAAAATGTTTTTCATAAAAAGTTGTATTATTGCTTCAGTTTAAAATAAATATTAAAACTAAAACAAATCTGATGCTTCAAAAAGATAACCAGAACTCTGCATACATGCTTTAGAAACACCAAAAGAGAACTTGCTTTGAGACAGTTGAGAAAGAAATAAGTCTTACACTGGAGTAGAAACATCACTAACCTGTGCACATATCTGATGCATTACATGACCAAATTCATGGAAGTAAGTCTTTACTTCATCATGTCGCAGCAATGATGGTCGATCCGATGCCGGCTTTGTGAAGTTGGTTACCAGAGCAGCTACAGACATCAATCTGCTGCCATCAGAGAGGAGACAGCCAGGTTGTAGACCAAAGCAGGCTGCATGCCCATACTTTCCCTCTCTGCACAAGAAAATACATCAGATACTATCTTCAAACCACAAACCTGCTCACCAGAATGGTGAAGCCTGTTCAAGAACAGGGACAATCAGTCAGTGTCTCTACAGAAAGTTTTACACAAAAAATGTACATCTTTTCATGACTTCTAAGACTCAATAAGTTAAGAGCACAAGAGGGATAAAATCCTATTCTACTCTCATACTGAAATCACAAAATTTCCGGATTTCCAGCAGCATTTAAAAGAATCTGCTTTTCACTGGAAAGCTGAAAGTATAGATACTTCAGATGCCAGTTGTGTTTTAGACTGCTACTACAACAGCAAGAACTAGGTTCTGGTCACTGATGCAATTTTTTTTTATTACAGGAGACAAAAGAATACAGTAAACTGCATTTTCATGCTGGTGCAAGAGTTTAAAGAAAAATTATTTTGCAAATTTTACCCCAAACTATTCAGTTAACTATTCAGATTAAGTCAGAGGAGTCTTGCTGACACATTCCCTCAGCAATTTGCATGATATACATAAAGGTGGAAGCAGGTAAACAGGTGAAGGAGATAGGTATGTTACCATAAAAATTTATGTACTACTATATATATTGAGTAACCTAATTTTCTTAGGCCAGAAAACCTTAAATCAATTCACATTAAAAAAGAATGTCAGCAAATTTATCACATGATAAATACTAATCTAAAAAACCCTACACCAAAGCAAACAAAAAACTAGTGACAAGTAGCCAAAAAGGACTAGCCCAAAATAAATCCTGTCAAAACAGTCTAGTCTCCTATCTTTGACGAAACACAGATGATGCTGTAAATAGCTACAAAGACAGCTGGAGAGCTAGAGATCAACATGGAAGTAAATCTGAATGTGTGCTCAACATGAATCTATTCTTGATATTGATCTATCTAATTCAGCAGTCTGGACAACAGGGTAGAAAATACACATTAAGTGTAAAGAGGAATTAGGAGAAACTAGGAACTTTAGCAGACAGAAATATAATTGATCTGAGCAACAAACTGCAGTAACACTTCAACAGAAATGAAAACTAAAACTTGGTAGTAAGCTAGGAAGGAGAAAAGCTCATAGATGCAAAAAATTATGGACAACTGACTAGAGAGCAGTACTACCAAAAATATGAATGAAGTAGCAATGCTTCATAAAAATGAATATAAGCAAGAAATATGAAAATACTTTAAAAACAAGTGTAAAAAATATGAGCACAGTCCAGAGGACAACTTAATGAACACAGTATTAATCTTGTCAGTGGAACAAATATGTACTTCTAAATGCATTTAATTTTAATTAACCAAGCAGCAACCCATTAAGACAAATTCCATTTTAAACATGTAAGCAAAACACTAAGTCATTACCTGGGGTAAAGATCCAAATAGAACTGCCCTAGCATTTCTCCTGTTGATTTATCCTTTACTGTATAAAGAGTAACACTGTCATGCCAAACATGAGCACTTTCTATTTGCTCAAATTCAAGTCCCAGCAGCTTCTGGTAAATATTCAGTAAGCCTTCTGTAACAGCCTCAATTGGGAAGTATTCCTTCAGTCTTTCCTGATCTATGGAGTACTTCAGCTCTTCAGTTTTGCTCATATAATAATGAAGATCCCATGCATTGATTCTTCCATCATAATCAAAGTTTCTTTCTTTACATTCCTTCTTCTTCAGATCTAGAATGAATTGTCTTTCTTCCTCAACCAACGGCTTTAACTTTTTACTCAAATCATCTGAAAGAAAGATTGCCTTGGAGTCAACTTCCATGTTCCTTATCTATTCCTATAAAATGCACTCAACACTTCAAGCACATACTGCAGAAGTGGCTGTTTCCCATTCATTCACCACCAACAACCAACATCTTCTTTCTTGTCCGAAATGCTATTAATGATACAGTAGACTCTATGTAAGCCAAAGAGTGGTGTGAAGGATTTAGGTGAATTTAGACTTTTTCCAAGACATCATAAATGAAAAGTAACACTAGACACTTATGCTTGAATCCTTTTATTTTATGTCATGTAATATCAGTATTCCTCATTCATTTCTTCAGCAACAGCCAAAGACTACAACTATTGTTAGTTACCAAAGGAAGTGCAACACAAAATTCAATACTTCTAGCTAAAGTCCTATAAGAAATCGAAGAGACCCAAGAATTCTTGCCTATAGGATATCTGGCTTCTACACTAGCAAAGCTTCTGGATATTAAAGTCTATGATTGAAATTATTTCCAATATACTTTCCTTGGAAGCAGACATATTGAATATAAAATATTTAAGCTTACTGACACTTCCATACAGTACATTCTGTACTTATTCTCTTGTATTTCTGGTTTATCAGAAACTTTTTCTTCATTAAGAATTCACAGTAATGTTCATTGTTGATATCTACAGTGTAAAATTTGGGAATTGCCACTCCTGTTTCTAGGAAGGCTGTAATGCACTAAATGCATTTGCATGACTGAAATACTGTTTGCAGCTTGTACTGTGCTAAATTCAGAGTAAGTCATAGGAGAGATGCTCTTCTTCCTAGATGTAAGATCAGCTTATGAACATTTGATTTAAAACATGATTAGATAGGAACAAAGTAGAGCAAAACACACTGTCATGCTTGTAGCTGAGGATATATCAAAAGAACAAAATAAAAAGTGACAATTTGATGCATGTTCTCCATCTGTGAGAATTACCATGAAGCATGATGATATGCTAACTTACCTGTGTCAGCTTCAAAGTAAATGAAAAAACACAGTATTACAATAATATAATGGACAAAGAAAGCCTAAAATACTTCAAGTACACTTAAAAACCCTAACATTTAATAATAAACCAAGTATTCGTTAATTGCCAAGTATACAGAAAATTGGTATTGCCAAATATGGATCTGATCTCACAAAGGAGCAATCAGGAGAAATGCAACAGAATTATGGGTTTTAGAGGGAGGAGCATTTGAACCTCTTTACTGAAACATAAACACAAAGACTCCTCTATCAGCAAACCTACCTTATTTTTGTACTAATTTCTTTGGGGGGATTACTTGTATGGCACATCAATATACACTCCTAAGTGGGGTTAGGACACAGTAATAAATGAATACATACTATTCAGTGGAGATACCAGAGAGCAGAGGTTAACTCTACATCCAAGAGTCCACTGACATTGACAGGATGACTCTAAATTAATTCATAAACTGCTGTGTTTAAAATTTTCAAGATACCTCTGTTTTCAGATCAAATTCAATTACACGGCTTTTGAATTCCACATTTAATCCATCACTCCAGATATAATTTTTTAATTCAGCTCATGGAAGTTGCATCATCTCGTACTGTAAAGTTTTATACTTAATGCAGTTGTACTAGAAAAAGACAACAAGGCTACAGATTCACAAAAAAACTGGGAATGAAAAGCTGCAATTCTGATGCAGCCTCTTGAACTGATAAAATTGCTTAAGCTGCACATGTTACTCTGGTTCTAAATTAGGGTAACTGCATTTTGGGGCAGAAAGGTTTAATCACTTGCTTATATTGGCTGTCACAAAGAATTTGTGACAGCCAATATAAGCAAGTGATTAAACCTTAACATTCTCAGAATTTGCCTTGTGCTTCCTGATTTGGAACAACTTCATTTGTATAGCTATAATCTAAAAAATATATATGCCAGAAGAGAAGCAGGAGAGTTCCGTTTCTGGCTAAGCGTCACGGGTGCTGTGGCCCAGTTATGTATTTGAATTCATCTTGGCTGAGGGAACATGTTACTACATTAAATATACAAGTATTGCTTATAAATGTGAACAAACCTAAGAAGGTTGCTACGTTATCTGTGCTCTTGGCAGTGTTTACCTCCAGGACAAAGTTGGCATGTGTGTTATAACCAAGAAGCTCTGCTACTTTTGCCCTTAGTGGGAGCAACTGCTGCAGAATTTTTGTGTTCTCCTAAAAAAGAAAATAGGCAAATTTGTAAAATGAAACCAGAAAACACATGTTAACATAACAATTATCTCAATAATATCCATAATCCTACGAAATAGAAAATATTTCAAATTGAACACTTTCACACTGAAATATAATATAACCTAAGTTTAGCTAGATTCTTGAAATACTTCTTCTCAGTGTTTGCAGGTAGCTGGTTTTCTAGTTGACCTGATTCATTACACGCCTTATTATAACAACTTATCTTTTTATTTAATCAAAATATACACTATTTTCTTTCAGGTTGTGAAGAGCTTATTTCCTTTATCAACCATTTGCATGTGAAAGACATAAGGAAATCGCTGGCAGCAGGCTTAATTGCTTGTTAGTGATAAAGACAGATTGCTAATTATTGTGCCAACATTTAAAGCTGATTTGCAAATTTTTCTCTTTTGCCACTCTAACAATAGCAGTCAGAGAAATATCTGAAACAGAAAATCCCAGAACTTGACCTAAATGTGTTGAAGAATCCTCAAGAACCTAAAAACACAACTGTGTAAACCTCTAGTTTTGGAAAAGTGAGATTTGTCGTGGGAGAAAATAATTAAACACTAGATTCAAAGACTGTCACACAGTTTTATTAAGAAATCTCTTTACATGTGTTGACTTGCAAAGTGTTCAGTTCCTGATGCCATTTTATTTTATCTTGTACTCATCACATTTCCAAGCATTGCAAGCACAAAATCTCAACTCTGCTATTATTCTCTAATACATGGTTGGTACAATTGTCTGAATGACATATTCTTTATCTTTCAATTTTTTTTTTATTTTGTACGTGTCTAGTTGTGCACATATGCAGTCTGTAGATTTCACATTTAATCATCTGTATTTATAATTTAAACCTGTGCTTAAATAACTAATCTCTATTTTAAAAACTCCAAAGGACTACAGAAGCCACTATCAGACATCCTTTTCTGTGAGCAAAGTGTCTGTAAGCATCTGCAGAAGACTGTAGGAAAATTTCACAGAAGATCAAAATCCCACTTCTATTAACAGAACCACTTGAACATTAAGATACATATAAATACACACACAGAGGCAGATTGTCAACTTCTAAGGTCTCAGAAGGACATCTGAATAATTTGGAGCAAGGCTCTGTTAAAGATCACACTGCTAAGTTTTGATTTCAAAATACTCTACAATGTGCAAAGTTCAAACCTAACACTTGAATGTCTAACTCCATTTTTCAACTCTGTCACTGCACTGTAGAACAGCCAGTACACAACATACCTCTTTGCATCTCGAGTTAAAGGCAGATTCCATTTTTCTCCTGGTTTCTGAAATGCAGCACTTCTTCATAACAGGAAAATAGTGGGGATACTTTAAGGTAACTTTGTATTTATCTTTCTCAGTTTTCTCTAAACTGTGAATAAAGTCATCAGGAAGGCCATCTATAGAACACAATTTAATAAAAAATGTTTACCAAAATTATCTACTCCCCATGTTTTTGTGAAACTGTTGCATTTGTTTTGCTGCAATCCACTTTGAGATCAGAAATCTCCACAGAAATATACCTCTTTTTTTACAATTTGCTAAAACTTTTTCAAATGTCACCAAGCAAAGGAAAATTTGGAAACACCTGAGAGCACAAGAAAAATACATGTAAGGCCACCAGATAAAAACTGAATACCATAAAAAAACCTCTGTTATTAGAGCACATTTTATGTGATGCCTTCAGATAATGAATCCCCAAATTCTCTGTCACATGAAATCTCTAGCTTGGTTTAAATTACCAATTAGTTAAACTTTATAACAGGACTAAAAAGCTTTTCCAATAATTACACAGGAGATTGCTTGATGATAATTGTGAAAAGGAACAGAGTACAGTTATGTTAAAGGAAGTATGACCAACATTCTAGTTTGATGCAAAGCAAAAACTTCAGGAAGCACAAATGTATAAAGACATCACGAACACCTGCAAAAGATAACTGTGAATTGATTCTGGAGAAGGACTAAAAAGGAAACAGAAAAGACTGGGAAACAGTGAGAATTTCACTTGATCTAACCATCATGCATGGGGCAAAGATCAGTTACTCCAATAAAACTGGAAGGTTGAAAAATCAGAAACAGCAAGCATGCTACTCACCAAGTTCTTCTTTAGAAAATACAAGAAATGTGTTTTCTTCATTCAGATTTTTGTTAAAGTCTATACACAGCTCATTCAATTTTTTCTTCATTGTCTTTATTTCCTGTATTGGGTATAAACTGAACTTAGTGGAAAACAAAAATCAAAGCTGGCAATTTTTATCTTCTACATGAATAACAATTCATTTTTTTCAGATAGGCTCTCTACTAACCAACAGTAAATACCAGGACTGAGCAAATAACACATTGCAGGTAGCATCATACTTCACACCCTGTCAGTCTTCCTTTTATGTTTCCTTTTATGTTTCATTCAGTCCTGAGCAATATTGTAACCAAGAGCTATTGCTCCAACATTTGAAACTCAGCTTAGAGAGGACTAAAGAGATTAAATAGATTCACTAAACAGTTTCATGTGCTAACATTCAAATATTTTCTTTTATTTGAACAGCTAAATTACAATTTTATGTGTAAAAATATCCACTGAGATCAATGAGAATGAAGGGAGTTAAAAAGCATGCAACCTACTCAAAAACACTGTTTTGGAATTGTACAGGTATGGTATGACAGAAAAAAGAGGGTGCTTTCACACGACTAAGCCATTCTAAAACCTATTGTAAAACCTTGATAGTAATTTTTCTGAAACATTTTCTAATATATCTCAGAGCAAGTTTCTACATGTTATTGTCAAGTTCAAATAAACATAGTAGTTACCAGTAAGAGAACACACACCAAATAAAAAACTAAATATAATTCACCTATTGTTCCCTAAGAAATTTCACAATACCTTTAGAGGCATCAGTTATATCAAAATACACATCAAACTGCTCTCACTAGCAGAAGGATGTGGATGAAGATTGATTCTTTTCTACAAAGGGTTAAGTCTATTCAACAGTCAGAAATAAAAGTCATAATATAGTCAGAAATATCACTCAGAATTTGAAGATAACTATGTTGGCATCTGTAGAATCCCACAAGATAAGAGCCAGTGTGTACATCTCAACACCAGTAGCAGGGTGGCCGTGGCACTAACCAAGGACTTTAGATAACAACAGCCAAGGACTTGGCAATAACATGCTGTGAGAAAGAACAAGATGTGACTGGACAAGGGGCCATACAGAGGTAGGACAGCACTTTTCTGGGACAAAGATCTTTGATCTACCTCCTGGAGATAAGCACAGCTCAGTACAGCACAAACGGAGAAATGAGGTGGAGAAGCAGGCATGTACTGTATGGGGGGGAACAAGACCACCAAAGACCCTCAAAGCCCACTGACCCATTTCCAGAACAGTGTAAAGAACAGACTGTGCATGACAGCTAATTTACATAGAAAATCCAAAACTTTTCTCCAGGGCAACGAAAGCTTATCTACAAAACAGTACCCCCATCCAGGCCCAGGCGGTGCCTCTAGGACTCTGGATACCTAGGCAGCTGGATTGATGCTGGAGGCATGAATGGTGATCTTTCTCCCTTCTTTCTCTCTTCCCCTCTTCATTTAATTTATCTCACTGTCTTTTCCCCTTCACTCTATCCCTTTTATCCAAAACCCACTCCCATACGATTATGCTAGGTCAGGGACTAACATACCATTTCCATACCAAGTAGAAACTTTACTAATGAAAGTCTGTAAATTTTTGAAGACCCCCTGATTTTTCTGCTCCTTTCAACCACAAGCATCTGTATGAATCTTGGGTGCTCCTTTCCCATTAAAGGTGGGATGCCACAGCATCTCAGACACCAACAATTTTACTTCCTGATTGTCTGACAATTGCTTTCTAAGTCAGCTCTCTGTTAATGAAGAAAAATTCACAGAGCAGGTTGTTTTCTCCTCTAACCTACTTTGATTTTTTTCAGATCTAAAATCATACACACATTTTACAACGTCAATTAACTGAAACAAGTGTAGCTGTGGGTTTGCAACAGTTACACATACTTTTGAATAGAAGTGCAGACTCACTAGTGACATTTTTTAGGTCTCTTCCCTAGGAATTTCATTTAGGCACTCTCTACAATTGTAATATATAATACAACTTTTTCAGTGAGGCTTCTTTTAGTCTCAAGACTACAAAGTGATGCAGACAACCTCTATCTACCGTGTATCATGGATATCCATCAGATTAGTTTAAAAACCTTCAAGTGATTGAAGTTCAAAGGATGGATCTGGAAGAACAGTTAAGATTAGAGCACTAATTCAGCAGATCCAAAAGCATGAAGTTCAAATATATGCTTAGTACACCTAACTAACAATAAATTTATCCCTTCAACAGTTGGTAACATTTGCTTTATAAAAAAATAGTCCATATTTACTTTCTGTACTTCTTTAGGAAGATGGAGTCCATTTCTTCTCCCCACTTGAACAGATTTCTCTAGATACCTCTTTGTTTCAGGCTTTACATTTTCAAGATCACAGGTTTGCTGAAATGACAATATAGAATAATTGAATTTATAATACATTTTAAGAACCATACCAAGCATTAGAAGGGTTTCAACAGAGTTGTTCTTGAGAATACTGTCATATTAAAAAAGGGAACATCCTGGATTTTAATGTGAAGAACTCCCTCAAAACAGTTACCTTACACAATAGTATTCTTATATTCGTATAGAATGTTTTTAAAATAATATTCTTTTAGCAAGTGTCTCAGCACATTTACATGCTGTCATAATGGCAAGCCCTTTCAGTTTACAGTACAGTACACTTAAACTTCTTCTGTAGAGATAACTTTCTTTTACATAGTTGAAGGAAATCGGTGCTATAACACTGTACCCTAAAAGTTTGAGGGACTGAAGAAGAACCCCAAAAGATTAGAAGCGTCACTTCAGAATATCAGATGGCCTAAGATCTGAGTATATTTGTCTTCTCCAGAACCAAGCTATCAGTGACAAAAATAAAACACTATCAGAGAAAATTCTGAGTTGGAAGGGACCCAAAAGGACCATCATCTTGAATATACTACACATACAAAATTTTGGAACTCTCCAGAACTTTTAGAATTGTTCTGGCTGATTTTATATACTTTTCATACTTGCTTTGGAGTACCTTGCTAATTTATTCCAGGAAGAAACCTTCAGACAGAGTAAAAAACAAAACCTACTTAGAATTCCACAAACAAAACCTGAAGCAGCTCTTTACATCAGGCTCTCCTGAGGGCATGTGGGTGGAGAAGACTGGCAACATTCTTAAGCATGCTGCTACTAGTCAGCATGTGCACATGTTAGTAGTTACAAAATTTAAAATTATAGTTTCACTACCAAATTCACCTCTATTCTAAGTTTCAAACCTCAAAATACAAGTTTTTCAAAGAATAAAATATGAAGCATGTTCAACAACATAATTTTACGCAGAAATTTTTCCCCTAATCTGTGGGCAAAAGAAAGTGACCATGTTATTTTAATATTTTCTTGAACTAAATCTAAAAATCTCAATTTTCCTCCACCAACAGCTCTTAAATTAAGCATAATTTAGAAGGACTACTATTGTTAACTTAGAAAAGTTTAGTCCCCATTAAGGGGAGCTAAAGCATTCTGCATGTCACTGAGGTCAAGCAGATTTGCTCATCCCTTAGTATGCTGTGTTATAAATAACGTGGAAGTGTGAGAGCTCTCATTCTCCTCACCACAATTTAATCTGGCCCCCTGAAGGACCATGAAAACTAATTAATCTACCTGAATTATTAAATTACCAGTGAGGCCATGAAAAACCTGATTTAATCCAACTGTTTACTGCTATTTTGAATTGGCAAAATAATTTCAGCCAACCTCTGAATTCTGTTTGTGGAAGTTCTTTTTTCATGTGTTCCTGGAGCCTAACTTTTTAACTGAGAGTTTCTAACAGGAGGAGGTGTTAGAAATTGAGCAAAAATTAACAAGAACTTTATGATTTGGAAATACAAATATTTGACCAGTCTGGCACTACTGGAAATTTAATATTTGTTTGAGAGCAAAACTCTTACTACTTTAACAGTTATTAGAATGGATATATACTCAGAAGTTGCATCTCTGGCAAACTAATACTAAAACATGCTGCAGTTAAGAAACACTTCTAAAAAACTTAAACAGAGACTTAAGCAAAAATTCTAACTGTTATAAAGGTCTAAGACTGCTGCAAGTGAAAATGAAATAAGAAAACACTAAATGAGAAAAAAAATTTAAGAGAATAATAGTAGTGAATAACAGCAATCAGTTTTCACTACCTACTGTCAGATAGTCCTGTAAATTAAAAATAGATAGATAAATAGATATGTTAGATTAGTCCTCAATGTATCTGTGCATTCTATAGTGGAGAGTGGGGAAAATCACAGTAGATAATACATACAAATCAAGCCATTTAATTACTAGCAACAGAGCAGGGGAAGAAGGAAAACTCAACATAAAATACAGAAAGGAAAAAATCAACACAAGGCACTATCTGCCAACACACAACAGAACATACTCAGAATGGGGTTATTATATACTTCCGCAAATATGTAACAAGAATACCCAGCTAGAGGAGAACACTTGAAAATTTCCCTGGAAAACACAGCAAAAGAAGACAATGGTAATGGAAGGCAATTTAGTATGGTTTTGCAAGTATTATTCTAATACCCATTCAAGCGTGCAAAATCACAAATGGTAACCCCAAGAAGTAGGGCTCCAGTATCTTATAAGCATTACAAGAAGATTAAAAATCAATGGTGTTGAGAGGAAAAATTAACATATAAAACATAGAAAAACTTTTTTTTTTGTTATCACTTGTTAGATAACTTCCTTGTATTATCCATATATTGTACTTTTAAGAAAATTATTACTAAAAGCCACCAGACATATTGGAACAAAAATATTTAATCATTCTGATATAACCAAAAAATACAACCAAATAATCTTTCTTTGATCTACAAAATAAACAGTACAAATGAAGAATATGAGATACCTATAGGCGCTCAATTAAAAGAGAAGCTAAACACTAACACAAAAAGAAAAGAAACTGGTTCAAAACTAAATGCACCTTTTAACATACTTTTATTTTGAGACTGAAGAAACCGATGAAGAAGAGGATACAATTGTCTATAACTTGCTGATCAAAGAGGTAATTTCAGAGGTCAATGCCATTTATATGTTGTTATTAACCTACATAACTTAAAACAACTTTTAAATTTAAAATTCTCAACTTTTTCAATAAAGCAGAATTTGGACACAAATTCAAAAGCAGTATAGGATAATGTAAGTGCTGTATTGCCAGCTTTCTTCCCTCCATCTTGGAACAAGCTTAGCCAGTAGAAAACAAAAAAAATTTTTCCTAATAGGTTTCCCTATTTTAGTTTAGATTCCTTTTATCATTCTTTGGAAGGCTAGACAAAAGTCAAAGCTGTTGCAATGGAGACAGAAGGAGACACAGATCTAGATATGAAAGGCAAAGAGTAGGAACAGCATGATCCACTGTTTTCTGTTTTACAGCAGTGTCCCACAAAGATTTGAGTTGCACAGACACAGAGGAAACACAAAGTTATTCTGAAAAGCAATGTATATACCAAAAAATTTTAGGTAAATTTAGATATGTGTCACAACTTATGTAGATATATGTTATTTACCTGTAAATAAACAATCTTCTGAAACACATCTTCTCTCATGCTCATTTCCACATCCAAATTTGACAGTTTTTTGTCAGCTTCTGTACTTGCTAAGCGTACCTCTTTGTCAGGGGAGACATGCTGGGGAAAATCCAACATGCTTCTTTCCACTGTTTAAACAAGAGGCAACGAACACAGAAGGACAGACATGCTTTAAGGATAAGGAGCTTTCCCTCTTCTGTCATTTATAAAAGACATAAGAAAAAAGTATCCAAAGCAAAAAGCAACCTGACACATACAGCAAAAAAAGTGGTTACATGTAATATAAAATTGAATAGATGACATGACAAAACTACACACCATTGTAACAAATAAATATTTTACAGAAGATTTCTAAACCCCAAACCAATTATCTCATCATCTTCTGCAAAATCAGCTGAATGGTATATAAATACATTAGAAATGCTTCATCTTCCAAAAGTCATGTAAGTGAAGACTGACGTTTCATAGCTGGCACAGATGCTCCCATGTTAGCATTTCAAGTCAGAAGTTCTGAATCTTTCAAATATGCCCATCTGTCCTGAAGTTATTTTTACATTGTTATGAGCACAGTATCAAATCCCCATGTACTGCACTCTTCTGTGTTTAAGAAGAAACAACACGGCAAACAGGGAAGATGCTGTCTGTGCATTCTGAACTTCCAGAGATTGGAAGCTGAGTAATACTACTTTTTTAGAATATACCTTTGAGATTAAGCAAATCCTTGCTTTTAAAGGAATGTTACATCTTACAATGACATTGAATAGAAATCCTAAAATATAAATGAATTTGCTTAATTAAAAATCAAATTACACTGTCTCTACCATCTACCTTTCCAAAAGCAGATTTTAGAGTAACAACATATTAGGCTGATTAAAGCTGTGTAATTTTATGTGATACGCAGTCATTTTATCAAGCTCCAAGACAGACTCAGAAATGCAACCATGGGCATGTGATTCTTCTTGAAGTCCTTAGGAAACTTGCCCCTTCACCTCCTGCCCTTATGCAAAGATGTTTCAAAACTATAAACGGAGTTTTGGCAGCTTCCAAGTGTAATTTAAAGTCTATTGTCATCTCCGTCTTTTTGGATAATGAATTGCAGTTACTGGGGTAGGTCTTTGTGTGAAAGGAACACACAGGCCTTAAATTCCAAGTTTCTTATGGAAGTCTTACTGTGGTAATACACTCCTCCATATGTCATGGGCTGTTTCATAGCAGGTCATGATAATTTCACATACAGCTTTGAAGATTAGCATTAAAAGCTTAAATGTGACCCACTGTTGAAATTGTATGTAGTGAAAAATGTACATCTTCCATCAAGTCTTGGTGGCTGTGCTGAAAAGCTGATGACCAAGGTTTCTGAGTCAAACACAGATTTTCCTTCTGTAAATCTTTGTGGTGAAAAGATTTACAATAATTATACCAAATCAGTATATTGGTACAACTAAAATTGAAGCTGGCAGCAGGCTTTTTTTTTTTAAGATTACCATCTTTCTGAGTATCCCAGAATAAATTCCAGCCAATTCACTGGATGTGCAACTTAAACTAATGTGAAATCCAGACTAATATTACAGTATAATCATTTGAGATGCCAACTGTGCTTTTTTGCTAGACAAAGATTTTACTCCCAGCCAAGGTGGCTGTTTCTAGCACCTGCGTGGCTACTGTAGATTTTTTTAGAGTACTTAAAAGAATTTGACATCTATTACACTCACTGTTTTACAAATAATGCAGGCACCATATGAAAGGTTTTTCTCAACAAAGACATGCGATATGCAGTTTGTATTTTACTTATCTCCTCTGACAATTATTAACAAATTAACTGAATGACCTGTGTTTGACCATTACAACCCACCCACATATTGGTATGGATTGATAATTCATTCAGAACAATCTAGATGTGACCGCACAACCAATCTCTCCCTAGTTTCTTCAAGACCTCACAGGCCACAATTTACTTGTGAGTAAGTAAAGACGTCTTCTTTCAATAGCATATTCAAAATTTTCTCATCCTCACATTTTCTCCCCTAGCAGTTTATCAACATTTCCATTACTCCATTCAACTTGCTTGTGTAAGATTCCGCAGTGTCTGTAAAAAACACTGCTTACCACATGTAATGCACTATGCATACCACAGATGCTGCAGCCTACACTGCTGCAGTGTCCCCTGACAGCTGCACACGGTTGGAAATGTAACTGTGCGGAGCTTCACATGCAAAACCAAAACAGGTGACTAATGCAGGCCTCTGGGAGGTCCTGAAAGATTATGGACTCTTGAGAGGCCTCTACACATTCCACACAAGAACAGCAGGGATCAAAATTGGAAGCAACAACTATCTTTTCTCATTGCTTCCTTATGTGCAGATGGAATTACAGAAAAAAAGAATTACAGAAAACACACGCTAACCTGCATATTCCACTTCTATATCTGCCAAAGCCCGTACGGTATTTTCGTGTGTTACTTCTTCAATTTCAAGCATCCCGACACTGTCATATACATGTTTTGTCTTCCTGATAAGTTCTTCTGTTCTTGCTCTAATTTCCTCTGGTGACAGGTCCCATCTCAAAAGGTTTCTTCCTGATGCTATGTATGAAGAAGCCTTGAGCTGGCTAGTAATTTCTGCTCCTAACGTCATTCTCAACACAAGCCGTGGCCCAATGGACCTGAAAGTATAAAAATTAGTTTTACATAGCAAGAATCCAGTTCAAGAGACAGTTTACAGTAAACATTAAAAAACCAGCATCAGAATATTTTTAGAAGGAGGAACAAAGTCCTTTTTAGAGCTGCTATCTTTATCAATGAAGTCTAATTTTTAAATAAATCTGTCTTCTACCTTTTTCATTTAGAGTATGACTAAGTGCAAACAGGGACAAAAAATTTGGTATTGACAAAACCATACAGATTAAATTATGACTCAACCTTCTAAGGAAAACAGCTTTGCAGTTACTGGAACTCTACAGAAATAGACAGTATTAACATTTTTGAAGTAAGGAATAAAACCCACATAGTGATTTGTAGATGACAAAAAACAAGAACTGCAAAGTTGCAAAAAATAAGAATAAAAAACATCACTTGATTGTATTCATAATAGCAAAAAATTTTATATTTATACAGGATGTCTGTAACATAATCAGCATGGGAGGAAATCTTCTAATTGTTACTCATCTGCAAATTTATTCCTTCAATTGTGCTGGATTTTAAATTGGCAGTTTCACTCTTTTACCAGAAGAGGTACATTCCTTTACTATGATTTATGTATTAATAATCTACCAACTATAGTTCTAATCAACTGTATTTCAGCTTCTTTAAAATTAAGTTTGCATTCAAGTAGTCAAACTTGCTGCATTTTTTACCATCATAGGAGGATCCCTGGCATTCAGAGACTTACTATCTGTCTTCCTATTTCAGCTACATAATTTTAAAAAAAATTAAAAATCACAGGTGGTTATGGTAATAATGACAACTTAAAATTTTCAACAATAACCAAGGAAATACACAGAGATCTTGCTAATAAAGGGATGTTTACTTCACACTGTTTTACATTAAGTAACCTTTTCTCTTAACACTAGCCATTGTACCTGTATTGATTTTATTGTAAAACCTGTCTGGTATGTGCAAAAGTGTGCAGAGAGGTTTTGGCTTACAATGCAGGGAGCATGCAAAAAAGACAAGCAATTTCAGCCTGGAGGAATAACAAACAGAAGAGTGAAAGGCCAGCAATGCATGCATTGTCTTCTGTTTGAAGGAAAGCAAAACATTTTGTCAAAAGTCCTCCAATTCTATAATAGAATTACTCCAGAAATAGCCTAACCAAAATTATTTGATGCAAGACAAAACCAAAAAACATTTCTACTTATGCTTCATGTTGAAACTTTATTTTCCTTATTACCACAGATTCTTCAGATCTTTCCATTCCAATGTAGGTAAGTTGTTTACTTTTCCCTTTAGTGGCATACAGAAACATCTGGGTCCAGAATACTGATGATTTAACTTTGAAAATGAAGTGGAATTAAAGAATATTTGTTCAACCTCTGCTCTTTTTCTCTGATACCAACTGAGTTCTGGCACTAGGGCTTTAGTAACTTCTCCATTGGACTACTGAAACTTTGAATTTCGATATAAGTTTAGAATAAATGAAGCTGCTGTCATGAAAGCAAAAGCTTAAGCTTAGCATTCTCAGAAAGCATTAGTTTCCCGTCCCCAAAATCTACTGAAATCTACCCTGAATCTACAAATCCATTAAAGAACAGTACTTCATTAAGTCACAAACAGATTCTCAGTGGACTGCCCTGTATCTAGTTTTTTACACATTGCTAGCACAGGTCTGGTAAAACCTCTTGGGAGGTAAAGGGAAGCTCCTCAGAAATAGGTTCATGGCTCTGAACTCTACCCCACACCACCCACACCCAAGAAGATGAGAAAGACTACACAATGCTCCAAATTGAAGTCAAAATAAAAGTAAAGTGGAGTCAAAGGAAAACAACAGCCTGAGCAACAATAAGTATGCTTAAGGGAAGGATACTAAGCAGATATTATTTTTAAGGAGAACCTATTGCTTTCAGTCATTCAGTATCTTCACCTAGAAATTTAGACAACACAACCCTGCCTCTGACCAATTGCATATCAATCCAAAACAAACACTAAAACAGTCACAGCACCAACATATTACATCAATTTCAGCCTGTGCAACAAGATTTATTAATAATGAAAGTTGGACTGAGCTCATGAACTGGAATGTAGGGTCTCAGATTACCAGAGAACACTATTTTTAAATAACAAAAAAAAAGATGCCACCTGATTTTCCTAGTATATTGGCTAGTTTAATTAAGACATATATGTATAAATTTGAGAGTTGCATAAATTATTGGCATAAATACCAGCAAGTTGTTGACTACCTGTTAGAAACAGGAAAACACAGGACTGCCGAGTTTTGAAATGCTGATAAATAAATAATCTTTTTCAGACGTGTTGCTACCTTGCTACCAGTCACTCAGACTGTACTAAGAAACAAACTAACATCACCTTAATAAAAAACTGTGCAAGTAAATATATATGCACAAGTGAAATCTTGGCCATTTCTTTCATGCCTTAGTGTTTTGAATTATTTATCTACATAAAACTATAAATAAATAAATTCTTAAAACTCCATGTATCAGACTACAATATTTTAATAATTTGCTCAAAAATAAAACAAAGAAACAATGCCAAGACCAAAAATAGTAAATAGACAGTAAAGAAACATGAAAGAAGAGTGTAACTAAAATAATAGGAAGCTCAAAAATACTCTGCAGTTACATTTGACATGCTATTAGAGAGAAAATATTAAATTGTATCACTGAGGGAACCTTTAACTTCCCAGATTTATAACTGAAATAGAAGTTCTATTAATAATTCTAAGAACCAGATGCAACAGTGATGAGTTTTCTTCAAACACTGAACCAAGCAGGTACAAATACTATTTTAGACTTGCTTTTGGTAAATAGCACCAACATTACAGAACAGCCAACTACTACTTGCACTGAGCAATCAGAAGTTGATTCAGTTTAAGTTAGATGGAAGGATGTTGCGTTGCATAGGCTGTTGCTAATGCCTGAACTATTTGGTTCAAACTGTTTCAGCTATCACACTCAGTTTTCTCTGGTGTAGTGCGGAACACTAGAGGCATCTGAACAGGCCTGGGTTAAGTATAAGCCTCACGTCCAGCAACAGCATTGCATTAAGACATTTCTGTCAGTGTTCCTGCTTCCATTGCTCATTTCTGCCCCTGTACCTCACTCCATCAATGGCATCAGCACAACAGTTGCTAGAGTCCTACTTAGAAAATATTCAGGACAGCATATAAAATAAAAAAATTTTACAAAAAAATAAAAAATAAAGATGAAAAATAAAGAGGACCAAAAACATCCAGCGGCAACAGCTTTTTACTAGGTAATCAGTCCCATCACCCTTTTAATGAGTGACTTCAAAACAGCTGTGTTGGTCAAAACAAAGTGTCAGTAAAATAAAAAGTGTCAGTAGCAACCTAAACTTTCACTACTGCCAGAAACACATATGAAATCATGAAATCAGTCTAACAAAGAGAGTCTCAAGATGATTGCTGTCATTAAATATGCCATTTATATGTCCTAAAGTAAAAAGAGCTATTGATGCTAAGACGCAATACAGGCATAAGAACAAATTAGAATAAATTGGTCAGGAATACAGAAAGTTAGAATTGCAATAGACATACATAAGCATAAGGGCAGTGAGACTCTGAAAGAGATGTCCATTAAGTCCCAGCAACTAAAAACCATTTCTATTTATAACATGGTGCTTGACCTGCTTATAAAATGTATTAGGTTACTTGGTACCTAAGGTAGCATGAGACCAGATTTGATCACCCCAAATGCCCTTCCAGTCCCTGAATTTCTGTGAGGTCCTTCAAAATTAACACAACTTTATTTCATTTTTATAGTACACATCTAACTGGCCTCTACTGGCAACTTGCACTGGCCTTTTTCTGGGATCAGTCCTATGGCATCTAATAATGTCAATAGAATGACATAGGGTAGACTGAAATATTTTATGCATTTGTACAGTGCTTCATCCATTTAGAAGAACATTGGGAGGAAAGGCACACAAGGTTTCAGGACTTTCAGTTATAACAGAGATTATTACAGACGCAGCTGTTTTCACAAATTATGGTGAAAACATAATCAAACCAGCTAATCTGCCAATCCCAAAAGCAGTAAGAATGGTATTTTCCATCAAAAGCAGAGTAAGTTGAGTAACACTTAAAAACTTAGTAGCTACTTCTAAAAAAGCATTTTAAAGAATAAAGCAAAGCTTGTAAGTTGCAGAATGCCAGGTAATTTCTTTCACCAATAAATCTACAATTTGATTACTTTCTGCTTCTGGAAAATAGAAATTTGATTTGATTTTAGAAAGGGGAAGAGCCTTTATAATACTCCATTACAGCAATACAGTGACCAACATAACTGCTGTAAAGACAAACAATGCAATTGAATTTACAGACTTGCTTTTTAACTTGTGCAATATCTTAAACATATTAAACCTTTATGTAAGTCTGGTTTTGCATAGAAACATTTTCTGTGACTGAAATGTGTGTCAAGCAGTCTTTTGTTGGCATGTTCCATTAACACTATTAAAATAAAACAAGAAAGCCACAATCTGTGAAGAAGCAGCAGGGAGGCATAGCACCAGCTTTAGAAAATACAGAAAAAAAGCCAAGATCCTCCTACTACTGAGAATCACTATATAATACAGTTATATTAAATTATCAAAATATATCAAAATTTAAGCCTGCTGTCTCATTTCAGTCTGATTACAGATTGATAGTTTTAATTCCATCAAAGACTTTTTAATGGCACTTTCAGTTTTCAAATTAATCTTCACCTAAACAGTATTAGTTACAATGACAAGTATAATTTTACAGAGTGAATTAACTAATGTATTTCTGGGAAAAATATATACAGACCAATTTATTGTACTTGCAAATACATTTGACAGTTCCACATAGCCACACAAAAATCAGCATATATTGGATTCATGCAGGATGGAAAACTATATTCTACCTTGACAAAAGAGAATAACAGCTTCAGAAAGTGAAGAGATAACAGCTTCAGAAAGTGAAGTGAGAGCCAAGATTTTAACAAGAAAGAAA